CTGAGCTGTCTCCCTGTGCATAAGCAGCCCTTCTTTCTCCCATGATTGTTCTCTCCAAGGAGAATATCTACTTGAGGTAAATGTTCAACTCATATATGCCTGTCTTTTGTTTGGCTGGAAATCACAGGTATGGGTTCAGTTCCAGACCTGAAAGCCAGTTAGGGGCCATAGTCTCAGTGGTTCATCTGGCTAATTCATTTTTTGTTTTTAATTTTTATTGTGATTTGAGTGAAAGTTTACAGAGAAATTCATTTTCCATACAGCAGTTCATACACATTTTGTCTCATGACATTGACTGCAGTTTTCTACAGGAGTGAGTTCAGTTCCAGACCTGAAGGCAGCTAGTGCCATAGTCTCAGGGGTTTCACCAGGCTCTATCAGGCTAGCAAGGCTGCTCTTTTCTTTTCTTTTTTAATAATTTTGAGTTTTGTTCCACAGTGTTCTCCCACTCTTTCCAGGATCTCCTCCTACACAGATCCCCCTCTGAGTGGTTGACAGTGGTAGCTGGGCACCATCTAGTTCTTCTGGTCTCATGGTCATATAGGCTGAGGATTGCATGGTCTACTAAGTCCCTTGGACTGATTGTTTCCATGTGGCCTAGTGCCTAAGCCATTTGACTGCTAACCAGAAGGCTGGCAGTTCAAATCCCCCAGCCTCTCCTCAGAAAGAAGGTTGGGCAATCTACTTTCGTAGAGATACCACCTCGGAAACCCAAGGAGGGGTTGCTGAGTCAGAAATGACTCGACAGCAGTGAGTTCTTTTTTAATTTTCTTCATCCTTCTTTGCTCTGGACGAGGAGAGACCCATCGTTGCATCTAGATGGCCACTTTCAAGCTTTTAAGATCTCAGTCACTACTCGCCACAGTAAAATGTGGAGCAGTGTTTTTGTGTAGTATGTTTTATCATCTGCGTAATCCTTTCTTTTTTGTGTGATTTGGGTGAAAATTTACAGAGCAGATTCACTTTCCATACAGTAGTTCACATACACTTTGTCTCTTGACATTGAGCACATCTGTCTAATTCTTATTATTCTTCAGGTCTCAGCCTAGACTTCTGGTCTCCCTTCCCCACCCCTGCCAAGGCTAAGTCAGATGTCCTTCTTGTGTGACCCCTACAACACCCCTACATTCATTTGCCACATTGCATTTTCCATACTGTGTGGCAATTACTTATTTACTTATGTCCCTTTTCCAGGAGATTGTAAGCTCCAGGAAGACAGGGCTGTGCTGGTTTACCTTCATTCCTCACTGCCTAGCATATTGCCTCAGGTGCAATAGGCTGTCAATAAATACTTGTCAAATGGATGAGTGAAAGACATGATGGTATATGAAAGTGCTTTGAAAAGGTTAAACACAGCAAAAAATAGAAAAGATTATATTTTGTCATGAGGAGGAGAAAATGGACAATTGGAATCAAAATGTCCCTCTAACATCTGAAGCAGCTGAAAGCATTATGTGTTAGTGGGTCATGGTACACACGGTGAAGTAACTCCCTCCCAACCAGACCAAGACCTTGAAACTGAGAGCTCATGGAAGTCAAAATAGATGACATCAACACTCTGGAAACGCCACCCTAAGGGCCAGGATATCTTCCAGGATGACATAATGGATCTTAGAAATCTAATCAGGAGCTCTGGTAGTGTAGTGTCTAAGGCACTTGACTGCTAACCAGAAGGCTGGCGGTTCAAACCCACCAGCCACTCCTCAGAAGGAAGGTTGGGCAATCTACTTCTTCGGTGATACCGCCTCGGAAACCCAGGGAGGGGTTGCTATGAGTCAGGTCCGACTTGACGGCATGTAACAACAACATGGATGGACTTGAACCACCAATCTTTCAGTTTGCAAAGAGCTGAGTGCTGGATCATTTGCTCCACCCACTTACATTTCTCCTTATCGACTGATGAGTGTCTGGAGAACTGGGCATGTGAGAGTCAGTTCTCTTCAGATTCAACACTAGACTCACTGAGAAATGTGAGGTTTTAGACCTTCACAATCAAGCTGGATTCAGATGAGAATGTGGAATGAGGGATATCATTGCTGATGGCAGATGGATCTCAGCTGAAAATAGATGTGGTTGTTAAGTTTGTGTGTCAACATGGCAGGACCTGGTTGAGTGGCTGGGCAGCTGGATGTAGTATTCCCCATGATGAGACTGGCAGTCAACTCCATGGTGGAATCTACTGTGAGCAGCTGAGTAGCTGCCCTAGGGATGTGGTCTGCTTCCTGTATATAAGA